GCAGATAAATGATCACATAGTCTGGATCTGAGGGATGCTGTATATTCCCAGGTGTCAGTATCTTGTAGAACAGCAATGCATCTCATGAATGTTTTAGAAAATGGTTTACTAAAACATTCAAAACTTATCATTTACTCACCAAGTGAAACACATACACTACTGTTTAAAGGTTTGAAGTCAGTAAGATTTTTTTTGTCTCTTATGCTCACCATGGCTGCATTTATTTGATCAAAAGTAACATTAATTTTGTGAAATATTAATAAAATTTAAAATAACTGTTTTCTATATGAATCTATTTTAAAATGTAATTTATTCCTGTGAATTTTCAGCATCATTACTCCAGTCTTCAGAGTCACATGATCCTTCAGAAATTATTCTATTCTAATTATTCTGATTTGCTGCTCAAGAAACATTTCTCATATTATCGATGTTGTAAACAGTTGTGTTGCTGAATATTTTTGTGGAAACTTTTTTTTCAGGATTCTCTGATGAATAGAATGTTCAAAAGAACAGTATTTATTTGAAATAGAAATCTTTAGTAACATTATCCTTTAATGTCACTTTCGATCAATTTAATTCATCCTTGCTGAATAAAAGACACCATTTATCATTGCTGATTTTTAAAAAATCTGTTAACAGGTCATTTAATTCACAGTAGAGTGCCAAAACCAAATCAACTGTAAAAGTCGACAACTTCCCACCACAGTGAAAGTTCATCAGAGCAATAATTTAACAATGGCACCCTGTTACTAAAACATCATTAATATTGATGATGTCCTTTCAGGCTGTAGTCACTGTACTGTACTGTAAAGAAAGCAAGGGAAAAAATAAGAAACAAACAAACAAATCCATATTAGCAACAGTACTAGTGATGCTTGCCTTATCAGCTAATGCATTTATTTATTTCAGCTCAGTTTTAGATTCTTCCCACAATAAAGACTGAAATATAAAAGCTGCTGAATCTCATGCCTTGTTTGTTGTTTTTCCACAGGCGGTGTTTTTCATACGTGCTCCATGACCAATCATTTGGGAGAGACTATGTGGGCGGTTAACCAGGCAACTGAAATTTCACACATGCCAAATGCGATTACGATCAGATCAGATCAGTGCTGCTTACATTACTGAGTGAGCATTAATCCACACTATACCTTTGAGCAGTCTGCGTGTGTCTTACACGGTGTGAACGTGGTCATACAACCTTATTCTGAGTGTGTGGGTGTGAAGGACGAGAGGTGCAGAGTTCATCGCTAGGTTGATAAACCACTGCAGGACTGGGGAAAGGGAGTGTTTACTTATGCAGTGAACGCCTTAGTGAGGAAGAGTTTTTCAGGACATGACAGAAATAGATATTTATCAAAAGTGTTGAATAAGTCTTATTTATTGAACTGGGTAGTGCTGATAGCAGTTAAAGATCTGGGGTGGTATAAGAATACCGGCATCGACCCATGACGCTCCCAACCTGTATGTTATTGTTAAATAAAAAAACAGTTAAAAATTGTTTTCATTAACTGAAATAATGCAGAAATAAAATAAAATATAAATATTACAAGAAAAATTTAAACTAACTTAAACTTTAAAAAATGGCAACCTTTCTGAAATAAAATAAGTACTAAAATTACTACAATTAAAACTGAAATACAAATAAAATCTAAATAGAAATATTAAAAATCTAATAGAAATGTCAACCTGTATCAGTGCTGTTATTGTTAAATAAAACAAACTAAAAATTCCATTGAAATAGAAAAAATAAAATATGATTAGATGAAAATCTGAAACAAAAATTAGAAATGTTGCTAACCAACTAATGGAAATAAAACATATTGAATTACTAAAGTTACTACAACTAACACTGAAATTAAAGCTAAATAAGAAAAAAAACTTAAATTAAAATAAGAAAAAAAATTAAAATTAAAGTCAGTTGGTTCAATGTTGTTTGAACCTCAGCACTTCTTCAAAATGTCTTCTTTTGTGTTTCACACAGAAAAAAGAAATGCATATAGATGACAACAGTAGGGTGCATAAATGATGGCATAATATTCATTTTTGGGTAAACTAGTCAAGTCAAGTCACCTTTATTTATATAGCGCTTTTAACAATACAGATTGTGTCAAAGAAGCTTTACAGTATTAAATAGGAAAAATAATGTGTAATAATGCAAAACAATAAACACTTAATTTTCAGTTAAAGTCAGTTCATCATTGATTCATCATTGAACCTATCCCTTAAACCCCTGCATGTTCCCAAAAGATTACTGGCCCTTTAACTAAACATGCTATGGCAATGTTGCATGAAGGTCACAGAAATACATTTGTGGCAATAAAAGAGATAGTTCCAGCTCTACATTCAATCTGGAAAGCGTAAACAGATGGTATGCTAATGAACTATATCACTTGGTCAAGACGCTTAATGAATTGAATTATTTATTGCTATTTCTACTGCTTTATAAAAGCAGTTGGTTGTGAGGGGCCTGTGATTGTACTAGTTAAGGGGGTGCTCTGCTTCACATGGTGCCTAACGACAACCCTTAACCATGGTGAAATCATAGTAACACATGATGAGCTGTGTCTCATTTAGAAGGCTGTGCCCTCCGGAGGGCGCAGCCTTCTAAATGAGACACAGCTATGGTCTCTTGTGGCTTATTGCTTTATCTCACAAACCTGTTTACATCATGCAAAGTTTATAGCTGGAGGGTTAATATAGAAGGTTTGCGCTGATTTGTCATAGATGTGCAAGAGAATTGTTCTTTACTACAAATAAACAAAACCTGTTCCCCAACCTAAACAAGTGAATTACATGGAGAGAATATAAAGACAGTCTTAATCTTGTGCCTCTGGTTCTTTGTAAAACGCTCTCTGAGGACAGGCGAGTTATTTGCCACTGCTGGAAATGCAATTAGGGCTGCAGAGCTCAGCTATAAGTGTCAATCACTGCTGAACTATATTCCAAATATAGTGTGAGGTTAATGAACTAATAGCAGGCTGAGCAACAAACATGGACTTCAGTTAATTATCCACATTTAATAGGAATGACATGATGGCAGAACCATCACTTTACAGTGTCATGTGCCACATGTCTGTCATATCCTTCTAAAGACACTGGTGAATGTGTCAAGGAGCACCTTATGTTAATTATATTGACAAAGGTGCCAGTTTTTTCTAGGCTGTCGCTGTCATCTTTTTGTAGGAATGAGGCCTGGGTGTTCTTTTGTCTTTGTGCAGTGCAGTGCATGACACACTGAAAAAAATGATACAACATTTTTTTAAGGTAAGTGGTTGCAAACAATTTATTTTAGCTACATTTAATTAAAAAAAAAATGTTGAAAGTTAGTCAACTAAATTTGTTTATTTAAATGTAGCTAAAATAAATTGATTGCAACCACTTACCCATAACACCCGATGTACTTGCTACATCGCTAGAAGAATGGCATCTACGCTAATATTAGTCTGTTTCTCTCTCTCCCTGAAAATCAGCAGAGACCAGGACAACTAGATGAGCCCCAGATACAGATCCCCAGTAAAGACCTTGTCTCAGACGGCCACCGGGACAAGACCACAGGAACCAGATGAGTCCTCTGCACAATGTGACTTTGCTGCAGCCTGGAATTGAACTGCTGGTTTCGTCTGGCCAGAGGAGAACTGGCCCCCCCGACTGAGCCTGGTTTCTCCCAAGGTTTTTTCTCCATTCTGTCACTGATGGAGTTTTGGTTCCTTGCCGCTGTCGCCTCTGGCTTGCTTAGTTGGGGACACTTCATTTCCAGCGATATCGTTGACTTGATTGCATAGATACTATTTAAACTGAACTGAGCTGGATGATGAGATCACTGAATTCAATGATGAACTGCCTTTAACTGAAAAATTAGTGTTTACTATTGTCACTTTGCATTATTGACACACTATTTTCCTAATTAATGCTGTACAGTTGCTTTGACACAGTCTGTATTGTTAAAAGTGCTATATAAATAAAGGTGACTTTAAAAATTTAGTAAATTTAATTAATCATTTTTTTTTCAGTGCAGAAACTGTCAAAAGCCAGCTGATGATTTTATACAACATCTGTGCCGATAGCTGAGTGTTTGATAACTTTTTATAATGTGCAAAACCTAGTGAGCTGCCTATCGAGACTAGACAGCATTTCAGGACATCATATGCTGGCAGCATAATACGCTGCCAGTGCTGCCAATAAATGTAACATGCATCTCAAGATCATCAGCAGCATAACTGCAAAGCAGATTATGTACCCCGATACCAGGAAAAACTTCCTCTGTTCTAGTACACAATGCTCTTCTCGTCACCCTTGTTATCTTATATTCATAATTTTCTTCCTCAATCATCATTTGATGAATTACTGCTGCCATGGTCACTAGACACACAAACATCTCTTTTAAATAAAATAGTTTTACCGTATAACATGGTGTTAATTGTGGCAGGGAAATGAGGTTGATATTTGTCAATAAATCATGATCTATAATAACCCTTATTTGTTGAAAAATGGCATGTTTGCTGAAAAGAGTGATTCTCGCTGTGTCTGAATATGCCTACTTCCATACTATATAGTATACAAAAAACATTATGTAAAAAGTGTAGTCTGTCCGAATTCATAGTATATGAAAAACAGTAAGTAAAAAGTACTGGATGACCTACCAGTTTTTGAAGTATTAATGAGTATTAGTGGCAGTGAAATGACAACTGACGCTGGTTAGGTCATGTGACAGAGACAGCATGTTGTATGTATACCCATATTTATACTATACAGAACATAGTTTTTAATGGTTGCAATGTAAGTTTCAAACCAAATGTAGTACCTGCTAGACAGTATGTGATTTGGGACGCAGCTAATGACTTAAATTAGATGCTGAGAGTGCAGTGTTATTTCAGCACATTTAGCACTTGGTTATTATGGATTGTGGGTGGTTAGTCATTTTGATGCAGGATGTTCAAATACCAAATCAGTAATTGCACATTCTTTTTAAGCTTATATGACTGCATTGTTAGCTTAGAAACATGCTAATGTCAAATTCTAATTAAACCAATAAAGCTGGAGGTACTGTACACTCACAAAACTCTAAAGACTGAAGTTATAACTATATAATGAACATAACTGTTGTTTCAGGGCAAATGACCTTGTAACAAAGCTGATCTGGTTGTAGTCCTAAAATCCAGAAGAGGATTGGTGTTTTCAACCCATTGGTTCCTTCTGAAATTAATTGAACCTTAAAAGTTCAAATGGAACATGTTCTGTTCTGTAATTGTTGTTAATATAAATCAAACACTGTCCAAATAAAAAGGCCAGCCTGTCACTGCCAGTCCCTAATGAAAATGAATCATAGTTTTACTACAGTGACCATAGTTCAACTATAGTTTTTGTAACAGAACCGCAGTAACCTCAAATTTACCATGGTTACCACCACAGTAACCATAGTTTTACCATGTGTAAACAAAAACCTAAACTAATAATTTTCAATTAAGGATGTTAAAATGCCTTTCAAATATGTTAAGTGGGTATTATTACCCATTTTACTCTTAGTATAATAATTTAAAAGTTCAGTTCAGGGGCTGGTTGCATAAACTACTTAGACTAGTCTTAAAAAGTTAGTCATCTAATTTGTTTTCTTCAAGATTGGTCATTACTTTTTAAAGCCGGTTACAAAACAGTAGATTTGCCCAATTTGAATAAAAAGTAAGACTTACTGTATTACCTCTTGGCTAACTGCTAATTAGTCAAGCTAGTCCTTAAGATGCAGTCTTAACATAGTCGCTATGTTTATGCAACTGGCTAGATGTATTTTGGTACGATACTTGTCTTTGAAAGTAAAATAAGTGGTATCGCCCATCCCTATAAATGACGGTAATTTTCGTCAGTTACTTTTCATTAGATCTAGCATTCTGCACGCTTTAAAGCAGACACTGGTATGAAGTAGTGAGGTAAGATTGCATTTAGTAGAATACATAACCAATTCCCTTTAACACTAAGGCTGATGATACATGGGACAACTTTTTGAACAATGTTGCTGGGCAACTTTGGACAATGTTGAAGTCAAAAGGCAACCAGGTGAGACACAGGGCCCATGACCGATTTAAAGTATCCAGATAGAAATTTGTTACCCATTCTCAAAAAGAAGTTGAGCAATTTTGCCAGGCAACATTTTTTGAGCACTGTTACTTGTGCACTTTCCAATTGAGAATTGGTAAGAAATTTCTATCTGGATATCTTAGATTGGTCATGGGCCCTGTGTCTCACCTGGTTGCGCATTGACAGCAACATTGCCCAAAGTTGCCCAGCAAAATTGCTCAAAGAGTTGCCCTGTGTATCATTAGCCTAAGGCTACATTTACACGACAACAATGTAGTCAAAAACAGAAAAGGTTTTCCCTTGCATTTATAAAAAATTTCACGTATACATGACAACGTTTTGAAAACGATTCACGTTTACACATATCCGCGAAAACGGCCAAAAACTACCGTCATGTAGGACTTTTCGCCACATTTTGCGACAGGATACACACGGCAGTGTTCAACCGTTTGACGGCAAACAAAAGAGCATGGCTTCAACAACGCCGTCGTCTGTTTGCATGTATAGCATGACAAATAATTAACTGCACTTGAAGCTTTCAGTAAATTAAAAATGAAACACCCAAAACTGTATATGGCATCATAACGAAGACAAACTATATGTTTATATGTGAAATTCTGGAGGGGAAGCGAGGGGATGTCGGATGGCGTCACGTGGTGACGTAATGACGTGTGCCATTAATTGATCTATGTACTATAACATGTAAAACGGGAACATGAAAGGAATATTCTAAAAGCAACTCATGTAAACACCTTAATCGTAATACTGCCTTATACAGAATAAGGTAAATAATTAGATTATTGATGTCCATGTAAATGTAGTCCTTGTTAGTAAACAGTACCTGTAGGGAAATGACGATTATATGTTGTATATGATCAAAGACTATCCACCTTTTTCTTCAATGCGGAAGTAAGCCTATAGGTGAGACTTCCGGTTCATTAGCCGCTATAGGTAAATAACTTTGTTCAGCTAAAAATAGCTGGAAGGAGTGGATGCAGATGAGACCGGAAGCCAGACCCATAGAATTTACAAATGGCCGTGCCCATTTTTCGACAAGAAAAAGGTGGATAGAATACCCAAGACATGTCACTTATATATGCTGTGTACGAAAGCTCTAAAATGCAGCATTTCAAGACATGAAGGCATCAAGGCACGTCCGAATACAAATTCTGCTTCACTTCCTGTCTCCGGAGGTACCTTCTTCTGATCGAATTTTGAAGGCAGCATAGATGTATCCTTCGCTGCCTTTGATATCCCACAATCCTGTGCGTTCCATTCCGTGACGGTTGGGATAAAAAAAATTAAGATGGCGTCTGAAAGTTTGGTTTGGTGGTCAGTTTGTGTGTAAATGTATGTTTCTGACTAACTTTTTGCACTTTTGATGTTATTTCTAGTGAGAAATCAGTATTATAATAATTAAATATTTGTTTAGTTATCATCAAAACTCATTCTATTTTGTTGTAGATCATTAAACCATTACGCTGCCTCAGAAGCCTGTCCGAAATGAGTTTCATGAAGTGCCTTCAGGCAAAAACGCTGCCTGCAAAGTCATTGCCTCATAAGGTAGCGAGGCTTTCGGACGCAGCCATAGTTTTGAATGGGGAAAAATGCAACACTCAATATGGCCGCTCTATCGAACGAAGCCCCGCCCTCTGAGCGAATATGGATATTTTTCTTACAAAAACGCATCGATTCGCTACAGGAAGCCTTTGTTCACCCGGAGCCATGTGAGACACTTTTTTTTATGGATGTTCGCTTTTTATTACATTTCTTTTGGACTGATACATGCAACACCCGCTGAGTGGCATTAAACAGCTTGAAAGATCAAAGACAATTTTTAATATAACTACGACTGGATTCGTCTGAAAGAAGAAAGTCATATACACCTAGGATGACTTGAGGGTGAGTAATTTATGGGCTAATTTTCATTTTTGTGTGAACTAACCCTTTAAAGGGACTTTGATATGATGAGTCTCCGCTGTTGGTAGTAATATTGGTGAAGTAAATCCACACTTTGCTGAAGAAGCGTTAGCAAACTCTTGAGCAGCAACAACAGTACCATGTACTCCGCCATTGCTGTATATGTTTGTTCGCGCTTGCCTTTAAAATCGACACGTAGGCTACCACGCATGTCTACATACCTAACACGTACTACGCACGCGCATGACCTTGCACTTTGAAACCCGTTTTCAAAAATATGTTTTCAGTCCCCAAAATGCCATTGTCGAGTAAACGAACAGGAAAAACGCATAAAAAGTTTCCCGTTTTTGGCTGAAAACGTTGTCGTGTAAACAACGGCCCCTAAGACTAGTCTTTGAATGAACATTTATTTGCATGAAGTGTGTGTGTGTGTGAGAAAGAGAGCGAGTATGAATCCTCTTTATAATTAAAGTGAAGCTGCAAGTGTTTATTTAAAAAACATCGACGTTACCGTTACTCTCTCATTGCTGAGAATAGCGTGACATTGACAAGAAGTTTTTGTGCTCCTGAATGTTTCTCTGAATGTGTGTATGCTACAGTGAAGGTAACACATTAATATAGAATGGTGATTAAACTGACTGGAACTCCTTGTGCATTCAATGGTTTTAACGCACATGTCCATATTTCAGTCAACCAGAATCAAATGGGCTATTCAGACAGACAGTGGTATATACACTGAACAAAATTATAAACGCAACACTTTTGTTTTTGCCCC